TGTGTGCAATCTTTGTATACTGCCCAGGCTTGGCAACGTGCCAACCTCCACCACGGTAGTGGTGCAGGGAGAAGGGCTTGATTCCCCACTCGTAGAAACCACTTGGGTGGCCAAAGAAGTCGAGTTGCCATAGATCCCAGACTGTCGTCAACCGCACCTCTGTGTTCTCGTAGATACACTTGCGAAGGAGAATGTCGCCTTGAGGACCCCAGCCGGAGTTGGACTCAAGAATCTTGCCTTCAGAGGTGCAGCTACCAAAGAGATTGGTAATCTTTTCGGCCATGGATCGAGATAGGAAAACACCAGCTCCACCAAAAGCCTGTGAACCGTGGCGCTCAATGGCCCCAACATCCTCAGACAATGTGCCAATGTACATATCCATAGTGTGATCATAAGTCTCCATTCTGGCAATCAGCGCGTGCATGCTAGTGAAGTAGGTATCATCATCGCAAGTAACAAGCCACTTCTTACTCGAAGACTCGGGGTGCATAAAAAGCGTAGGTACCAGGGTGACGTAACGAACAGCCATTTCGACGGACGAATCCGAATGGTAGACATCAACATCGATGCCCACGTCGCCGAGCATATTGGCCACTTCCTGGAGTTGCTCATCGCTAGCATCCAGGAGCATGAGAAGCAACTTGCCACCGTTGGAGTTGCCATGGCTATCTGTGAGCCAGAAGATCCACTCGTTGATGGGTGTAGTCTTGGGGTCCATAAAACGCTTGTATGTGGTCGAGACACCAAACATGAAATCAGACGCATTGACTGTTCGCGGGAAGGGAGAAGCAGGGACATTGATTTCCAGCGGCTCAGCGCACACGTTGTCGCCAAGACGCTTTCCCAGCTCCACGGTCCTGAAGCTGTCGGGTAGGAGGTTCTGGGAGAGCTTGGTCATTCTCTTTCGCTCCAGACCTTCTGTGCGATTGAATCGGATGTAACGCTTCATGTACTGGAACCGCTGTTCGAGGTGGTAACGCTCCTTGATTTCGGTCAAATGAGCCAGGTCTGCATTGCAATCCATCTTGATTTCGGGCTTGGTATCGAAGTCGCCACCCATGACGGGGTTCTTGGACAGTAGTGGTGAAGCTTTCTCGGCTGTCTCGCCTGGAGACTTTTTGTCGTCGAGAGGTTGTTGGTCGTTGGCGTTTGATGTAGCCTTCATTCCGGCATGTTGGAGGAGTTGCGAACGAACGTGGAGGGTGTCATTTTTGAATGTTGCCAGTAGTAGAAAGAGCACGCACAAGGCGCCTAGAAGAGATCTAACGATTGGACTCCGCATGGTGAGGACTCGAGGGCTTGGCAGCTTGGCTCCCATGATATTATCTGGCCAACGCGCAGCGGCGTGCCTTTGTGCTTGTTAAATTCGCAGTGTTCGATATGGAGGTCTGCCACGCCACGGTAGACCAGCTTTGCCGTCGCGACCTTGGAAGTCTGTCTCTGTCGTGAGGGAAGACGAAGTTGTATAGCAATGGCCCGTCTCGTTTTCCTGCCTAGTGTGTAGAGAGATGTGGGATGTTGGAGTGAAGCACCCGAGTGCAGGTAGAACAAGGCGAGTGGATGCGAAGAAGTGAGTGGCACGGTGAAGTAGCTCCGGGCGGGTAAGAAGGAGGGAAGCAGCAAACACAACAAACAGACACACACAAACCACCGCCAATTGAGGCCCACGAGTTGTCTTGGAGAGGAGGAATGTTTTATGGAGGAGGAGGGGGAGGGAGAGGGGGAGGGGGAGGAAAAGAGAAGAAAGAAGAAGGAAAAGAAGGACGAATCATCAAACAAAGTTCAGGAGGAAAGAGAGTCAAGTCGTAGGAGAGAGAGGGAGAGAGGATGATAAGAGAAGAGGATAATAGAGAATAAGAGGGTCCTCCGGGATCCATAAGAGGGTCAGTCATGGACCAGGGGGAAGACATTAGACATTTGAACATGTCGATGATGATTGGATCATTTTGGGCTTGTTGGATCCTCCTCATCAGATTGAAGATCGCCAAAATCATGGATCCTCACTGACATGGGCATGATTTGCAGGGGAGAGGGTGGATATCGGCAGTACAAGCACTGTACAGATAAGGCCCTGGGGCGGCTTGGGAGCCTTGGGACTAAAGTAGAGGGTACAAAAGAGGCTCAAGCTGAGACAACATATGAGGCAAGTGGTTTGCGCCCGTTTGAGTTTGAGTTGTGGGATAATCATTGCACCATCAGAGGTCACCAGGTACATGGGCATCTGCCGACAGCAGCGCTGGTACTCGGTGCACAGTTGGCACTGGTACACTGTAAATATAGGTATTGGCTACTGTGCTACATCTCACTGTGCTGGACTTGCCTTGAGAGAGCAATTGCCAGCGGAGACGGGAGTTTTCCCCAGCTACCTCCTCTAAACACCAAAACAAAGACAAGATTCAATACATATTCTTGAAAATCTGCAATGAGACACCAGTTCTAGAAGCGGGCGTTGGTCTAAAGACATGGCGCATCTGCGGCTTGTTGTCACTGCCTCCGGTTGGTCGTCTTTTAGTCAGAAAACACAAAATTGCACCATGGCGACCCGCAAAAACGATCAAAAGCAAAAAGGACCCGACCCTAAGCAGAGCCAAGAGAAGCCAAGTCTTGCAATAAGGTCTTCCAATTCTCTTGGCAACGTCTTTTTTCGTCTCAGGTACGCGTGCGTTGGAAACCATGGAAAGACTGATGCTCTCCTAGACCTTGCCGATTCACGCATGCATCGATTATCACCAACTATTCCCTGATGAAGCAGCTCAGAGTTGGACACGGCGCTTCTCTCGGAGTGAGCGACACGTTCTACTGCGTACTCGCCATGTTGGTTCAATCTCCCCCTGGCTCATGCATTTCAATAGCATGGACAGTGCAGACAGTGCGCCTGGGAGAATAGGAGAGGGTCACCACCGTTCTGATTCTTCTTCCAATGCGGCCTGGCGATCCATGGCTTTGGCGAAGGTGTGATCTTCCCCCTCCCAACCTCTGTCGGGCAGTTCCTCACTTGTCGTGCAACAGGTACTAACTAGCAAACTAGGTAGGTATGTTTGCGTAGGCCACATGCCCCCTGGATGACTGCCGATCGCTGGCATTGGAGAGGCTGACACCACTCGCAAATCCATACCCCTCCAAAGATAAAAAGTGGTCCGAAAGAGCGGGACTTTTCATTTCGGGTGGCCGCAGGCGCTGTGAGCGACAGATGCAAGGCTCCTGATTTGCACGACAACGCCGAAACGACTCGACAAGAACCAGTCCGGCTCCCGCCATCAACGGTGATCTCGTCGCAGCGCCCGACAGAAGTTCGATACCTTAAATTATCTGGCCATGGTTTACTATTTTCGAAACGGAGACGCGCGTCAGTCTTCATCAGACGTCGTCATGTCTAAAACTACCGCCGTATACTGCATTAATTTTGAGTCAAACAGGAATCAGGTGGTGTCAAGCATTCGCAGCACACCGTCCTGTGCAGACACGGAAAAGACGGGCCTATCGATTAGACATCAAAACAAGGACAAGAGAAACATCTACAAATATGTCGACAGCGCCCTATCATACGAGTACATGGAGTACTGTCGCCATTTTCGAATTTCTCTCACATTGTTTCATCGTTCCAAACCTTGAAACAGCAGACATCGCCCGCAACTCAGACACTCTCCACTGAGGCTTGAATCATCATGCTTCGGCTCAGCCAATCGACGTCATAGCCGTCTCGCCTTTGTTGCTGACTGCCGATCAACAAGCCCGTTCGTTTCGCCAGGTCAACCAACACCGTCTAAAGAAGGGATTTGCCAGACATTGGTCTGCCAGGCGTGCATACTCAAAGAGATGCATCAACACCAAGGCGCGGATGAATGCGGTATGGACGATAACGTTCAAGAATAATTGATATCGAGGTCAACTTAATGTCAATAAGGCAACGCTGGAATGATACACCCTTGCCATTGCGTCATGTCATCAATGACAGTGGTCCTGGTCAGGTCAGCCATGACAACCACCCATGCCACCAAGATCGTTGCCATTAAAATGTGCCGCGATCAGCACCCCTTCTCCAGGATGTGATGCCAGGAACTGAAATGCAATCTCTCACCGGGATTCCTAAATCGTACCCTGCCGATTCGTTGGAGCTTTCGATAATCAGCGATTCGGTATTCTCTACAGTAACGAGTTTCTTCGCCAACAAGGCATGTTTCCTGTCTGCTTCGTAATCGTCTACCTCTATTTCTGTTGATGTCTTTGGCAGCCACTCATCTCTTGTTGGGATCAGCCAGCAAAGGCTTTTTCTCAGCAACGCCTAAATATCGACTCTTGCATTATGATACAATGAATTTGGCTTTCCAAAGAATGGAGACGCCCCCTTTCAAGATACTTGACTATTTCAACCTTGCACATTTTTCGCATCTAATATTGGAGTTTTATCCTCTTTCTCTCTTTTTTTAGAGGGAGAGTATATGATGATGCAGGTTCAACACTTTTCTTTTTTCTCCCCAAGTGACGAGAGAAATTGCGAGCATACAGATTTTGGTGGTTAATTGAATCTACTACCCTATAATGGTTTCGTACTGTTTCGGGAGTTTTATTCAGCTTTACTAAGGAAATAAATGAAGAATAATATCATAAATACTGCTACATATTATCACTTTTCAGAATCTACTAATTAATGCTACGGGCGTCTTCTTGGGAGAAATGCTGGTGAACAATATTCAGGCAGATATTCTCCATGATAAATTAATGCATGTTCTAGCTAGCCGCCAAAACACCTACAGGTCAATCAGTACTCATCAATTATTCAGCATTCAGCAATAGAAGTAAGGATGTCACATAAACCATTGAGATACCTCAAGCGACTCCCACATCTTTATTGAGCTCAGGTGGATATTTCATTTTGATTCACACCATTTACTTTGCCATCCATCCACCATCCTTCCAGAAGTCGCCTGCTCTTCAAAACGTTGGCAGTGCGGAACCTCCATGAATGCGTATTCCGATGCTGGTTCTCATCCGATGTCGGAGCTTCCGTAGCTCAGTTGGTTAGAGCTTCGTACTAATAACTTGGTTAACAGCCAATTGTTGGTGATGCGAAGGTCGCAGGTTCAAGCCCTGCCGGGAGCAATGCTCACGCGCTTCGTCATATTTTTTGCCCATTTCATCAATTTTCATTCATTCAATCAATCCTTTTCTTTTCTTTTCTTTTCGAGGGTAGCCGTTATTCAAGTGTGCGTGTATGTAGCCACAACCTCATTGACGTGCTCGTATATCTGAATCGGCTCAAGAGCACTCCATTTGGTAGGATTCTCGACAGCGTCAATATAGTGCTTCAGAGCGAGGGCGGTTTGGCTGGCCCATTTCTCTGCACTGATTTGTCCAACGCTAGTACCCATGGGCACCATGAGAAGGCTCCGAATCTCTTCCGTTGCGTCGCCGCTGCCTGCGTGAACTGACCGATTGTGCTTATCGACAGCGCAGAGCAGACTCCAGATGCACTCGTAGACAACCTCTCGATCCCATGTTACCTCTTGCGGAATGCGCATGGTGGGACAGAGCGCCAGGTATTTCGTGCCCCATACATTCTTCGACCGTGCCTGGAAATCCGGCGGGACGCGGACGAGCGTGCAAGTTCCCGGCGGGGCGAAACCTCGCCATTCGTCGTAGAGTCTTTGCTGGGCGACTCTCGTCAGCGCGAGGTAGTCGTCCCTGGGGGACAGTGCGCGGGAGATGGCGTCGTCGAAGCCTCCGTCAAGGCGACCGTAGGAGTTTGCCGGGGACACGATGGCATCGAATTGAACGGCCGGGGGAGGAGGGAGAGGGCGCAGTCGTGGTATGTGATGGGGAGGGAGGAGAGGTTGTGCGATGCGAGGGCGGATTTGAGGGCGTTGGCGAAGTTGTCTTGCATGCAGAGGGCATGGATGGTGGGCAGAGGGGCTGAGGGTTGTGTGGATTCCATTTTGATGCTGGAGACGATTTGGATTGATGCGGTTGCTGAGTACTGTTTCGTGTATGTCGATATGGATGGTAGACGTTGTTCTGTTATTTCATCCTTCCGGTATGGTATGGTCGGTCGTTATAGGTGAAGAGACGAGATGAGACGCCTACTTATAGCAGCATCATGGAGGAGGCTGTGTTGCAAGCCAAGAGCCTCAAATGGCTGCCTTGACTAGGCGACCATGTATAATTGCTTACCTGTCCTCTCGAGGACTGTGACCATGTCATTGTGACTGAATCCTTTTCTCGTTGAGTTCTGTTGATTATTGCGATGCGAGCCTTTGATCTAGGTAAGCAGATGTATTAATTAGATGTTGGTCAGTGAGGTGAGGGAGGGGGCAAGATGACTGACTGCCAGTCTGTGGTCACGATTGACAATCCTTGGAAGGAGCCAACATGCATCAATTACATGCCAGTTCCTGTGGCCAATGTGAGGAAGGAGCACGTGTATTAATATGATGCGAATGAATTATTACGTCTTGAAAACTCGAATGACGATCCATCCATCACTTCATCACTCGACTCTTTGTTCGTACAGACTAGACTGACCTACGCTTCTCCGCACTCCGCATTGCTCACCACAGGCTAATTTGGGGCAAGATTTGTGGCTTTCCCAACTAATTTCGCCAATTTCCTGCCATTGCCCATGATTGGCGAATTCTGTCCGAAACATCTCATTTCGGGACGTGAACTCGGGCGCTATCCATATCAAAATCAAACATGAGGCCACCGGAAGAAGGATGGTCACTCATAAACTCAGGAGGGAGAATTGAACTTGTTTTTCCTTTGTTCTCTTCTTCTCAATGCCACGATAGAGGAGCTAAGCATGCACTCCGCACTGTCATCACTCGGGTCTTCCCACAATATGCATATGCTTTCTGGCCCTGCATCACCAAGAATTAGACAAAAGGGCCGAGGGAACTTGTCGATCCATATAAACCCAACACCAACAGAGTAGCACTCGCTCCTGGTTCTCCTCAATCTCGGGCTACAGCTTGCAAACAACCAACCCATGCATTCGAGCATTCCAATGGTCATCACTTTCCCCCACTTCCCCGCACATTTCGTCCAAGACATGCACCAACACGCACCCGATGATCGTGCGCTCTGGGGGTCCCCACTTGTCTGAATGTAACTGTAAATCCTATATAAGCGGTGTCTGGAACAAAGGGAAAGCAAAATGGTGATCACTGAGACACTCTGCTTCCACTTCTTTTCTCGTGCCTCGGAGCTCTCTCCCTCTAGCTACCCCTCGAAACCTGGAAGCTGTATTCAACACTCAAAGCTGGTGTAAGCCAGGAGAGCTTCAACGACTTACAAGATGCCTCCTTCGGCAGTTCAATGCATCCTCGCCGCTAGTCTCGGTCTGCTGGCCAGCTTCCCCTCTGTGGCGGCGCAGACTGGCGGCTGGCAGGACTACCAAGCCAATAACCGGACCCCATCTTCGTGCCCCGATTACAGCACCTACTCGAAGCAGCCTCACGAACCATACTCTTCAGGCCGTTTGAAGCTGCCGTACATGAGACCTAGCGAGGACTGCAGAACCTTTACCAGCCCTGCCGTCGAGGTGAGTCGCAAAAGCGCGCTGCGAAGCCAATGAGCAATACTTGAACAAACCTATGCTAATATTTGCGCCATAGAAAGTTATTAGCGACATCAAATCACGGCTCAAAGACGCTGATCTCGCGAGATTGTTCGAAAACACATTCCCGTCCACCCTCGACACGACGGTCAAGTATTTCGACCCCAAGCTGAATCTGGCATTCATCATCACTGGTGTGAGTTTTAATTCTCTGGCGCATAAATGTATTTGCTTGCTAACAGCCTGGCCATAGGACATCACGTAAGTTTCACTCGATCGACCATTGTTTGAGCCGTCAATTGACACAACCCAGCGCACAATGGCTTCGCGACACGGGCAACCAATTCGCCCATCTTTACAAGCTCCTCCCGCAGGACAAGGACCTACAGACATTGGTCAAGGCAGTGATTAATACAGAGGCGCGATACATTTCGCAGTACCCTTATTGTGGTAGGTTTGAGCACGCGCTTCTACCAGGACTGGTGCTGATTGTTGTATTCAGGTTCATTCCAGCCACCACCGGAGAGTGGACTTGCGCCGAGTCATAATGTGAGTTGCCCACTGTCTTTACCGAAAAATACACCAATCATCTAACTTTGTGATAGGACTGGGCGGACAAGGTCAATGTTAACCCGTATGCAACCATTTCCCGCGACGATTGGAATAGCCCCAACTGACTTGATCGCAGTCCGGTCAACAACCAGACGGTATTCGAGTGCAAGTATGAGTTGGACTCTCTGGCAGGGTTCCTCAAGATTGTGCGATCCTACTACGCCAACACCAAGGACTCGTCCTTTATCAACGATAATTGTACGGCTATCCACAAACGCAGCGAACTGGGTTGCGCTAACAAGACATTTAGGGAACGCGGCCATGAGCCAGATTGTGCGAGTAATTCAGGAGCAGTCTCAGGGCTCATGGTCCAACGACTGGGAGTTTGTGAGCTACTACAACTGGACTGGTACTCCTGGTGCACTCTCGCCTGCTGTACCCAATAGCGGCAACGGGGAGCCCAAATTGGCGAATGGTCTCGTGGCTTCTAGCCATCGTCCTTCGGATGACCTTTGCGTTTTCAGTGAGTTGTCGGCTGTGCGTTTTATACCCAAGACATGAAGGCTGACTTTTCCAGATTTCATCACCTCTGACAATGCCATGATGTCCGTTGAACTCGCCAATATTGCCGATATGCTCGACAAAATCGGCACGCAAAAGAACCTCTCGCGACAACTTCGACAATTCTCTAGGACCATCAGGGATGCTGTTTTAGCCCATACCGTAGCGTCGAATGGCATTTTTGCCTACGAAACTAATGGCTACGGAGGCATGTACATTATGGACGATGCTAATGTGCCGAGTCTTGTTTCACTGCCTTATCTTGGCTTCCTAGACCGCGATGACGCTACGTATGTGAAGACGAAGCAGGCCATGTTTTCCAAGGCGAATCCGTATTATGCAAAGGGTAAATCCTTTGACGGCATTGGGTGAGTTGTTTTTCATTCTTAATTTCTTTCGGGGGCATGCAATGACTGACTCTACGTAGTGGACCGCATGTCAATGCCACCTATCCCTGGCCAATGAGCCAAATATCCGCCATCTTTGGCACCGACGACGATCGCGAGATCCAACAGCGCCTGGCCATCATCCTGGAGAACACGAGCGGCCTGGGTCTTATCCACGAAAGCATCCACATCTACGACACGCAAGACTTTAGCCGTCCCTGGTTCGCCTGGGCCAACAGCTACTTTGCCGAGATGATCCTCGACCTGGCCGAGAGGAAACCGGGGTTAATCTTTAAGACGAATGCACCGTACATAATTGGAGGGAAGAACAAGTAGATGCCCATGATTGTGATGGGGGTGCTTAGAGTAGTTGAATCCACGCAAAAATGCATTGATATACTCATCTTCATCGCTATGTCCCAACAACAACCAATCAGCGTGGATGGTTTAGTGGTAAAATCCATCGTTGCCATCGATGGGCCCCGGGTTCGATTCCCGGTCCACGCAGAGCTGACTTGGGACTCGTCCTCGTGATGGCCTCAGTTTCGGTTGCTTACTCTTCTTTCTTCTTTTCAGCGCGGATGGTTTAGTGGTAAAATCCATCGTTGCCATCGATGGGCCCCGGGTTCGATTCCCGGTCCGCGCAGAGACGATTCTTTTTGTCTTCTTGGGTGGATCTTTTTGGTTGGTGATGTTTGTGTGTGGTGTTGAGGCTGGGATGTGAAGTGGTGTTCAGGCATGGGTTCTACAATTGGATTGTGTAATTATTTGTGTAGTGACAATTGATGTTGAATAAATTACTGTACGCGTCTGTATTAACCTTGATTATATCTGTTCGATATTATTATATGAGCCATTGGTTGCGTCCAAATGAGCACCGAAATTACAATGCCGACAGTCTCATCTCCGCCATGAGCCGAAGCCGAGGCCGGGAGTTGCCTCTCAGCGACCGAGGCAAAAAAAACACTGGCACTCGTAATCAAGTGTCTGCGGGTTTATACAAGTAGATGCCTTACCTCTCCCCCTTGCACAGTGCTCAAATCCTGGGCCAATGCGATAAAGAAAAAGACGGAAAAGGAGCAGTCATTCCGTGGCCCCCCTGATGTTGGTTCCTCGCGCCAGCCACTTAAGACAAACAGGTCCCTGGATTAATTATTGTTAGGTCGATGCTAGTCAGGAACAGGCAGTTGATTTGGACTGGCTTGTTTATTAGATTGACTGAATGAAGATGTCGCGGTAGCCAATTAGATGATCAACCGTATTGCCCGTTGATTATAACTCAAAGAGGACTCAAGAGACTTCTGATTGATGATTGCATGCTGCTTCGTCGCCCTGATGATCAAGCCTTTGTGTGCCTGAAGCCGATGTTTGAGACGAGTCCGTAATAGGCATTGGAATCTTTGGAGAATTGATGCATATAATTACTCGAGCGCATCATGGCATATGCCCCCCGACGCACGATGGTGCTGTGAGGTCTGGATTGACCGTCTTATCATGCTCACAGTGATCAAGGCCCAAAACATCCGAGACAAAAACTTGATGAAATGGTTCTCTGTAAGACATCTCCAGGTCTTAATCTCATCCATTAAACAATGAAGCATAAAATGTACGGAGTAGGATCATCCACTCTACTTTGGTAGCCCTCACTTTCTGCTTCGCTTCCCATTGATTCACCCCCATATTTTTGACTTCTTCAAGATAATACAAGATGCGTTCCTTGTCGCTTCTCGTCATTGCCTTTGTGGCCACCGCTTTCGCTCTTCCAAGTGGATGCGGAGACAAGTACGTTTGACTAACAAAATCACTCCATACACTTTTTCCACCGCATGCTTCGAGTATACATACTAATGGCACCTTTGCTATAAGATGCGTGGGAATCGAGATTCCTGGCCACTGCGGCGCCCTGTCACCATGTCCTGCCTCTGCTCCCTGCTGCGGGTAAGTCGCTCTGCATCTCCACTGTTCCAATGGTGTCCCTCTGACCTGGAAGCAGTAAGGACGCGGCGTGTGGAAATGGACCCGAGTTCTGTGGAGTTGGGTGCCATTTTATTGCGTCGTACAATAATGAGTGCAGGGCTACGAGGGAAATGTAGTGCTGCAGCAGATGGATGGAGGCGAGTGGTATTACAAAGGTGGGCTCTAAGGACCAGCAGACGTGTCAATTCTGGGCATTGTTTGTCTTGGAGAGCAAAGGGAATACTAATTATCATAATACATAATACTATTGACTCTTGGCTGGTGCTTAATACCAAGTTTATTAGCATGCATGCATGGTGTGCTGGAGGTGGAGGTGGAGGTGGAGGATGATTTGCTTTGCGCAGCGACCCCATGTCCTCTCATCATCACCCTTTACGATCGTGCTGTTCGAACAGCTTGTATGACATACTCCTTATTCTGCTGGTGCATTTGTGAAGTCATATCCGCAAAGGAATAGCCTTTTAACCTGCCCCTTAGTATGCCCTTTAGCATGTCCATAAACACATATTATTAAAGAGACAAAACCACAGTAATTAAGACAGCTTGCCCACAGATCAACAGAACGGAACCCTTTGTCGCATACTCTGTGAGACTTTAATATATATACAACCCATCTAAAAATTCTATCTCTACCCTGCCAATTCCATATATGCTTCTATATCTTTGTCCAAAGAATTATCGGCTTCGTGGCACGCTGTAGTATATACTTTGTACGATGACTCTGCGTCTACCGATGGGCACATTCCTGCTCGTCGACTTGGGTATACTTTGTGTATAAGTGATGGCGGAGTTATTTGATTGTGATGCTTCAAAAATAGGAGGCTTTTAATATTACCGAAAAAAAGGGAAGCTGTGGACGATCTTTCAGAGGCTTGATGAGTAATGGTTGTGAATGGATTAATGGTGATGATGATCTCGCTACTATAGGCATGTAATTCGCGATCAAAACAATGCCTTCCATTGACCTGAGCCACTGTTTACTCGTGTAGAGGGGTCAGGCCCCGGACAGAACAGTAGATAGACAAAGCTGTAGAGAACTTACCCTTCCAATACTCATAGCATTGCTATCCATGCGTTTATTTTACCTGTTTTTTGCGGCTTTGTACGTATCGATGGCATGCAAGGTGCGTTTACTCATCATGGCAGCTAGGTTGACCCTGTAGATGCCTGTAGGCGAGGGGCGAGGGGGTGAATACGGCAGACAGATTCGTATCTCTTTTCCCCCTGATTATCCTGACTTCTCTCTATTTCTCTTATCTTTTTTCCTTTCTTTTTTATGGGCAGTTCTTTCATACATTGTTTGATTCATCACCATACAATGGTTATAGTGGTCTCTGATGCGATGTTTGTTCCCTCCCGTGTGACGGGCAAAACATGCTTCTTTCAGGGCGCTGTGGTTCGGAACATTGCTGGGGCTGTCAGCTCGTGTGGTTTAGCGGGCTGTCAACGCCCCAAAATTGGCATCTATACCTAGGTAGTCAAGATTGTCATGCCTCCATAGGAAATAACTGCAGTGATGGCATTTAGACTGCCTTTACTGTTGAATCGCCGTCGTCTTTCTGGTCTGTTGCTTGAAATCTGCATACGGAGTCTACGTTATTCACCGCGTTCAGAGATGGGCTATAACCAGAGGTGTCCATGAATGAGAAGCAAGAGATTCTAGAGTGCGAGGTCAAGGCTCTCATAAAAGGCGTCCAGAGCTGGATTTATAGTGAAATGGTGCGCTGTGCCCGCTCCCAAAAAAGAAGCTGTGCTATGGCTAATAATGTGGAATTCGAGAAATCTTGGCTACCGTTTCTTGTTGTTTACATGTCAGATCATGTGGGCTGTTGGGTAGTAGAGTGAGATTACTTACATCTCACTTGGCAGCATGCTACTGTGGTATTCCTGCGGAGAATTTCTCGATCAAGAAGGCTCAAAATAACACGATTCTAAGAATTGTTTCACTCTTCCATGTTATTTGTATCGTTTCCAGTAAGTCAATAATATGCCCTTCTCCATTCCTTTGATGTTCATCTCCCGCTCACCATGGTCGAGAAGTCTAGGTTATGACAATCGTCAAGATCAATGCAAAGAGTGCTGATCCTTCTACCTCATGCCGACACAATAGATAAGGTTCTTATTTTCTATGTGTAATTCCTTTGATTGCCTCACATCCGTTCATCGACAAGCTTTGGCAATCAGTGGAGCCTCGGCCGGTCCCGTCCCTGTTTGGGCGGAGGGTCCGTTGAAGATGCCATGCCATGCCTGTAACAACGCATTGATCAAGGCTTGTTCGTATTAAGGCGTGGAAGTGGGTGAAAGATAACATGGCCGTAGGTGGGAGATGGATACACGAATTGTCTACGGATGGTTTAGGGGGAATATGTTCATTTCCTCTTGATGTCATTTGTTATTCTATATTTCCTTCCCTTCTTGGAACGCGAATCCCCTGTACTGGATCTCATACTGAAGGCATTTTATTCCCCTCATAGAACGGGTCATCACAAGTTGACGTTGCCCCCCATCCCACCCTGCCCACCATCCCACTCCCTACCGTGCGGTTCCAACCATTTAACCCGCATATTCGCTTCCGTTTGCCATCTTGGCGCATACAAAATGGCCGCTCGGCATCTCAGTGCCGTTATGCCACCTTCCGAAAGCTGTCCAAACTCCATTTGCCGCGTACCAGCACCTTGTCAATCTTGTGCCTGGCCCTGGACCGCCCACTGCTATCAGCACCACTTGCACGATAGCCTAGCTGCTATGAGACAGGATCTGCGGGGCAGGGGGATCTGGCGAGGTGGGAACTTCATATATCGACGCCTCCTCCAGAAGCTCCATTGGGCTGCCATACCGATCCGAATTACCCGATTGCAGACACACCTTTTTGCGTGACAATTTACTCTATTGGCAAGCTTAGAGACGTTGGAAGAGCTTGAAGGAGCGATATGCAGGGACCTTTTGACGAAAGGACATCACCTGGCGCCTGCTTTGACGGCTTCAACTGGCCAGACGAGCCGGCACATGCCATGATGCCATCACGGGCGAGTTGAAAAAAGGGAAGGTGTCTCGGGAATTCGCTGGCAAGACGTGTTTCTCCCCCATTATCTCCAGAGCCATGCTTCATTCAATTCATGGGAGACTTTTTGTTGGTTAGAAAGTCTTGTTCGCTATCTACGACTCACGACATTTCACCTGCGATAAGCGGCAAGTCTCAAAGCGGACGGAGATGGAGTTTCACTCTACAGCCCGCATGGCCCCTCACGGCCTCCATCATCACCTGCGATAGAGAGAATAGTGCAAGACTGAACTCGATGGACATCTCTATAATATTTTGGAGTTTGGAGCATTTGAAGTTTTGTATAAAGGTCGACCATTACGCTCACCATGATTCATTTGGCATCCAACAATAACACAGCAATCTCAGCTTCACTCGAAACATCTTAACAATCATCTTCGAGCTTCTTCAGCTCTCAATTACTAAACAAACAAAATGAAGTACACTCTTCTCCTCGCTGCCGCCGCCGGCCTCGCTGCCGCTGCTCCCAACCCCAAGCTGGGCCGCCGCCGTGGTGCTCACTCTCTTCCCAACCTGCGAAACGCCACTTTTCCCCAGTACTCTACCAACTGGGCCGGTGTCGTCCAGATCGGCAAGGGCTACACCCAGGTCCAGGGCACCATCACCGTCCCCCGTGCCACCGGTGGCTCCAATGCCGCCGCCTCCGCCTGGGTCGGCATCGACGGAGACACCTGCCAGTCCGCCATTCTCCAGACCGGCGTTTCCTTCTACGGCGACGGCTCCTTTGACGCCTGGTACGAGTGGATCCCCGACTACTCATACAGCTTCGCCAACTTCGACCTCAGCGAGGGCGACCAGATCAAGATGTCCGTCGACGCCTCCTCCAAGACGGCCGGCGTCGCCACCCTCGAGAACCTGACCACGGGCCAAAAGGTCAGCCACAGCTTCAAGAACCCGCCCTCCACCCTCTGCGAGACCAACGCCGAGTGGATCGTCGAGGACTTTGAGGAGGGCGGCCAGCTCGTCCCCTTTGCCGACTTTGGCACCGTCACCTTCACCGACGCCTCTGCCTCTGGATCCTCCGGCACCATCAGCCCCAGCGGCGGCACCCTCATTGACATCCGCACCCAGCAGGGCCAGGTCCTGACCAACTGCGGCATCTCTGGCAGCGACGTTACCTGCAGCTACACTGGCAACTAAGCCGGTTCAAGAGCGAAAAACACAAAAAATGAAAAGCAGACAAAAGCAAAGGTACATTTTTACTGCACATATCAGATTGGAACAAGTACATAAAAAGGAATGTCGTTCGATGGAGGACATGTTTATAAGTTGCTAGCATTTTCTTTCCTTTAAGTATATACCGGGATCCCATATACTCTACATCTACAGTCTCTCTTGCATTGTGATATAAATGTGAATGTAAATGCCTTCTTGTCTAGACAATTGGGAGTTTTTAAAAGCTCATCATTGTAGACAAGCTCCTTGGTAACAAGGCCACATTTAGTTTACTTCAAATTCGTGAGTGATTGTATCATGCTCGTTACTTGAAAATCACTGTGAGCGAAGCGAGTGTTTTAGATTCAAGGTTAACAATGTTGATTGACATAGCTACATAAAGACTCGTTCGCCGCGTGTATTGGCATATGTACTTGACAAGAGGAATATACCGGGATAATGTCCAACGATCCCTCGGCGAGGCAACATCAAACTGTGCGACTTTGTGGGTTCCATAAAGTCACCGACCATGGTCGCTTAGGCCACTGGCTTGAAGTTCCAGGTCTGGTTGGTGGTACCGTTGTAGGGGTACAGGAGGACGCGGGTCAGGTCCTTGGTGTTGCTGCCCTCGATGTCGATGGCCTTGCCAGGGAACAAGATGCTCTGAATGCTGTGGGTGGTTGTTAGAAGAGTCTCTTCTTGGTTATTGTGAGCATGGGAAACCTACGCATAGCCACCCTTTGCGGCGACAATCTTCCAGCGGGTGCTCTTGTTGGTGATGGGCTCGTACTTGGACGTGTCGACCTGAGCGACGGAGCCATCATCTGTAAAGTTCTGATTAGCAAATAGCGAACCATGTCCTGAGTATGGATGTCTGCTTACCTGGAGCAGTGATGTAGGTGCCGCCATAAACACTCTGGAGAGCGTACTCGTCCTTTCGAAGTCTTATGACCTTCCACTGCTGGTTCTTGCCACCATGGTTGTGGCTTTGGCAATTGTTAGTCTATGATTGATGTGGAGTGCAAAAGAAAAATTCTGGAGAGAACGCACAATGAAATGATGTTGGCAATGGGGTTGTTGCCGCCCTCGAGGTCGAGGACTGGGTTGCCGCTGAGAGCGCTGGTGATGATGTAGGTGCCTTCCTGGAGAGCTGCCATTGTGATGGATGGAATGTATAAGAGATGATAGTCTTGTAAGTTGCTGATGCTTGTGTTTGCTTGCTGATGCTGATGCTGATACTGAAAGGTTGAGAGATGTTGGGGATCTCGTCTTGTCTTATATAGTTCAAATTCTGTGAGCTCCCTCAGTCCAAGTCACGCCATCCCACCACCTCAATTGTTATATTGCCAAGTGATTCCATATTGCAATATCGTTGAGAATCAATCACGACTTGCGAATGCAGATGTTGTGATGGGAGATGTATAGTGTTGACGCCAGGCTGAATGACCGCTGGCCAACCGGACGCTTTGGTCCTGGAATATCTACACCGGACAAACGCCATATTCTCGTCGAGTGGAGCAATATATTGCACTCCAGGTGTTCTCGACTCTCGTATATGGCACAGCCACTTTGGAGGAGATGTAAAATAGGTACGAATGAGGAAACGCCTGACTGTTGAGGCCGCTTCTCTGTGGCGTCTTGATGTGACAAGCCCCGCGATTCTCCCCGCACCGGGCGCCAATGGAGGCATGGGAGGGAAATGCATTTGGCAAGTGAAGTGGGCAATACGTGTAGCCGAGGTGTTCTAGATGTCGATGTCGGCTTCAGCCGTTCCTTGGAGGTGTTGTGTATAGAGCGTCTAGGCAACATGATTGGCGTTGAGGCACGACATCATATGCAGGTAGTATGAGGAGGTTTCATTCTTACTAATGCCAATATTGATACCGATATTGCACCTTAATTGAGCTCACCTGCGTGGTGGCATGGCATCATCGATCATGGAGAACACGCAAAAGTAAATATGCATATATCCCCAAGCTGAAGTCTACATGCCCAAGTCCATCTCCCTGCATAAAGAGTGATGCGCCACCCACATTGTCCAAAATGCCAGGACAGTGGTGCAATGCCTACCCTAGATTATTGGACATGTCGTGGAAGCCATGCATATGGTATCATCAGTTTCACTTGATCCGCTTCACTAACACGCATACAAACCATAATGCAAAAAAAAGAATGTCCTCGGTGAGGCTCGAACTCACGACCTTCAGATGGCCCAATCTGTTGATTGAATCATATTCATTGATATCTGTTGACTTTTCGTTAATAACTTGGTGTTCGAACTCGGGGTGGTGATGAGCGGGGGGTTGGGGTTGACTGACGAGACTGACGCGCTAGCCAACTGCGCCACGAAGACATGTTGGATGCTTGGTTGGCTGCAGAGGGCACGAATTGATGCTCATGGACAGACAGACAGACAGACAGGCAAACTCCTGTTTGGAAACGTCGAGGTCACGGTTCGGGCCGGCTGATGAGCAAAGAAAAGAGGCCAACAGTTATGAGTGGTGCGTGGGATGGATGGCATGCTATGGCGGGGAAGACGGCTCGAACCGAGTAGGGCAAAAAGGGCAACACAGGGCAGAGCTATTGAATGATTATTAAACGCCATATCCTACTGCACTGGCCTATGAAGCTCTTGCTAGGCGTCACTGTTCAAGCCAAGTGTATCACAGCCAAAGTTCTAGGTCTTGAGCCGCAATTACGGTAGATGTGAATGGGATAAGCTTAATATCTAGTTTAAAGAAGGTCCCGTCTACTATTGATTCCGAAAGATTTGGTCTGGGTCATGTTGTGATGAGGAGGGAGCATTTTCGCGTGCATCTATCTACTTGTACTACAAATCGCTTCATATGTCTCCATTCAGACACTTGTGTTCATAGTTGATGAGCTGGAATTGTTCAGCTGATGCAGCCAACCGCGGCGGACTGTAGGTGATGATGGTAGGCTATGTTGAGTGCCAGCAATACTGTACGTAATTCTCGGCAGTTGTGGTATTCTCACGGCACACACGAGTTGGCAGTGCGCAGATGGCTGGTGCGAGGGAACCAATGCTTTGCAAAATGATGCGTGTACCAGAGTGAGTGAAACCTGCATCTCTCATCATCCTTTATATGCTCAATTAATGGCAAGAATGGTTTCAGCATGATGGCTGGATAGGATGAACTTTGACCTTGACTTCCCCAGAAGAGAAATGATCTGCTGCATGGAAGCTAGACACCAAATGGTTAGCGACAAACGAATGAAGGTGTCTCAAAACTGCGACATGCTCGGAGTCCGGACATCGGCTCGTCGCTGGTGAGACCGTGGGTGCTTGTGAGTCGTGACAACAAAGCATCCAGATGGAGACTACACCCATGGTCAATAGAAATCCTACATCTCTCCGGAGGATCCTTTCGACTCTCACGGCCTATAGAATCCGACAATGACTCGACTCCAGAATCTACAACGGCTACTGTGATTCGGCGGGGATTAAACGGACTCAAGCGTGGCAATCCGATGGGTGGACAATGCCATGTCTTGTAGTATAATGCGGCGGGGGTTTTTTGAGCCATGGATGCATGTATTGCTGACGAGGTGATGCACAAAGGTAATGATTGTCATGATTGGGAGCAAACCTGATCCCCGCATTGATGCATTCTGGCTATGATGTTGGAAGAATACCCTGATGTGACTCTATTGGGCCGGGGGTAGGGGTCAGCCAAGCCGGAAGTTCCACCTTGTAGCTAATTAACCGTTGAATTTTCTCGATTAACTCACAATGAATCTATCCATGTCTACTCCGTAATTTCGTGCCTTAATCCACCACTCTGCCTGACCAAGACTGTCATTACCCGCGTGTTATTACCTCTGTTCGTTCCTATCTTGGTCGAGATAATCGCGTCTATTAGACCCTCACGGCGTCAAAGTGCACACCGCTCGGCTACTCGGCAAGCGATCGAATGGGACTCATCCACGCACAGCGAGGAATAGAGTAGCACCACAGGATTTGGAAGGAATCTCCATCCATGCCAAGACGGGCGACCGTCCGACAAACGAAGCATAATAGAGGGGGATAAGGTGCAGCTAGAGGATCATCCATCCTCCAAGTACCGAAGAGGGAATTGCCGAAGAGGGCCTTGCCCACCCTATGCGCGACATCCTATGCTCTCGGCGAGAGTCCGTAGATGATGCTCATAGTGCGTGGACTCTAGTGTGTCGTGAGATCCAGTCTGAAGTGGATCTGGTCTGGGGATTTATACAACAGAGTGACATGCATCCGTGGGACGATATGATGCACTTGTTTTGTACCAAGGACGTATACATTATGGGAGAATAGGCAAGGGTGCTCTCGGCTACACGGATTTCTGCTACACGTTCCTTCACCTGATTCCCTCAAGGTTGGGCACATCGTGCTCCTATGGATGATGCTTGTTGATGCATACCAGACCGCCAAACCCAGCGGCATCGTGAGTTTATCACCCGGTCAAGACTGTGGGATCGCTAAGCTCCCAGCATGTGCATGCTAGACAGACAGTAACGCAGTGGTAGAATAATGAGAACCGCAGTCTCCTGCCATAGAAGTCCTATATAAACCACCTTCATTCCCCTCGATAACTTATTCCAGCATTAACCATCAAGCAATCCTGTCCCATCAGACCTCAAAGCTTAAGCAACAAGTCTTCCGCAAATCAGCTACCCTCAACTCATCTTCTCAGTCCCCCAATCTTCGCCAAAATGGTCCAGCTCACCACCGTCTCCATTGTCGCCGTGGCCATCATGGCTCCCTTTGTCGCTGCCGACAACTGCCGCAATGGTATCAACTACTGTGGTTGGAACCTCCTGAAGAAGGGTACGACTAAGAACACTTCCCACAGAGTTCTCCTGATACTAACCATGGCACAGGAAACTACTACTCTCAGATCATCAGTGCTCTCTCGAATGCCCATGAGTCCACTGACAGCAACCACGTCAACAACGAGCTCTTTCACTGCGATGGTGGACCTCAAGGTGACATTACTGTCATTAAGTTCTGCGGCAATGGCTGCCTCGATGGTGGCTCTGGTCACGATGACTACTGTTAAATCTTGGATGAAGAAAATAGCCATCGTACTTGGTTATAGATACCAGTGTCTGAGTCAAATGCTTTCCTTGATGGGATATTGTCTAGGTTATGGAACTATGTAACTTGGGTTTTTTATTTACTATCACGGTTTTTTCAGAATCTTCTTGTTTGCTACCCTGTGATGATGTCGTGGCTCTGAAGCTTCTATATCCTAGTATTTGTGCGAAGTGAATCCACGAGGCCTTGAGCTGCAGTATAAGAGCACATTGCCGCTCTTCAGTTACAATGACATCCCAACATAAACAAGTACGCTTTCTATTTCCTTGGCTGTTTGTGGGAATATAGGGGCCAATTGCTGATGGGCAATTAAAAGCTGTTTGTTTTTTTGATCATATCATTCTATACATTTCAAAAAAAAACGATGCCTATACAAACCACGTACGGCGAGAAACCATCCATAGTAAAAAAGAGGCAATGAATGCTAAACATTGAAGACTGAACTTCGCCCGTCTCCCCCCACACGCAGCTACCCATCGCAGGTAAAGTCACCGGTGCCAACCTAGATAACAAGACCTTTCACTACAATAAGAAAAAAGCCGGGTCCCCTCATTAGAGGCCCTCCTTTTCTTCGCATGAGCAGGTCTTAGTACATATGCTCTATGTACTCATCGCACCCTATCTTCTCTTGCGATCTCCTCATCGGAGAATCCCTCCTTCACATCCTTGACATAAGCATCGAACTTGCCAATCACCTTGATGACATACGTCAGGTGCGTAGAGTTCATCTGCCTACGTTGGAACTGAGCCCACTGTCTCGCGGTAGTAATCGCATTACGAATCTGGCGACCGTTCATCTCGTACTCGGAAAGCTCGTCAATGTAATTGTCGATGTTGTCGAAATCAACGTTCTGCTCGTCAAGGGTCCTGAGGCGATTGAAGAAATTGCGCCAGACCTGCTTTCGCCGAGGACGGGTCAGCGTCTCGTAGTGTAGCGCGAGCTGAATGCGTGATTTGAAGGCCTCGTCAAAGGTGCCCACGCGATTTGACGTCAAGATAAGAATGCCATCGTAGTATTCTAGTGCGCGGAGGAAGACTGAGACCAGCGCGTTTCGGGCCAAGTCCCTGAGCGAACGTTGTTCGAGAAACACTTCGGCCTCATCTAGCAGAACCACGCAGCCCCAGGTTTTTCCTAGATGAAAGACGGCTTCCAAATACTTTTCGACATCTGCAGGTGTAGTCCCAATGTCGCCGCACGTCACCGGATATAGGGGCTTCTCTGCCATCTCTGCCACACTCTCCGCGGTGAACGTTTTGCCCGTCCCTGGGCCGCCATGAAGGAGCATGATCAATCCGTTGCCTTTATTGTGCATCAGATCAGTGCCTTTTTCTGCGGCAAGCTGGTTTGTCACGAGAGCCTGAACCAACTCTTTGGTCTCTGGATCTACAACTAGGTGATTAAAGGCCTGCTTATTCCATTGTACCTCTTGGATCAGGTCAACCTGGAGGTCCTCTATGTTGCGGTTAGTTCAGCTACAAATGGAAATGAGACAAATGAAGAGCGGCATGGGTAATGAAGGGCGACGAGAGAAATCATGAGCAACAAGAGCGATAAAGGGCAACAAGAGGAATTATGGGCAACGAGAGTATTTTTCTCACTCACCCCATTTCTTTCTTCGTAGGTCGAAACCGATGATTGTATTCGGAAATACGTATATTTCTGGCTCAGAAGGAGGTTCATCCCGCTTCATAAATTCCGAGTTCATATCGGTGCTATGCATCGTGTTGATTATGACAGTTGTTTGAGTGTGTATCTGTTTGTAGGTCATGTAGTCCACCATGAATCGTTGCCCCGGCTGCGCAGATGAACAAGTCAGTGACACACTGATGTCTCTAATCATTACCAAACTATCCCATACTCACAGAATATCTTGTATCTTTTGTGCTGTTGTCGTAAGCGACCAGTTTCCTGTGCCGACAGCTCCAAAATGTGTTCCCTCGTTGCCTCAATTTTGCACGCAGCTCTTCCGAGGCAAACCGTAGAGGGATTATGTTCAAGTCAGCAATGGCAACCTCTTCATCCTTGGTGTCTCCGTAAAGGCGCATCATCAGTCTGTTGGATGTCTGGTGGAAATAACCCGTATAGTTGTATGACCATGAATCTACCAGCCAATTCCAAGTCGGTTTCTGGGGTGCTACGCTAGATTCGGTATTTTGCTTCTGGGTATTTGACGGGCCATCAAAGAGAATGTCCTCTAACTTGGACTCTCGCAGCCAAGACGTGGCAATAGCGCCTTGGACCGACTTCTCTTGTGTGT